GAGGGCATCGATGTTGTCTTTATCACCAACTCTCTATTCATTCATCTTTCTTTCAAGACTTGTTTGAATTTTTCCCATTCCCATGGTTCAAGGGTTCTGAATTGAATGGATGATAATGAAGAATAGCCATATGACTGATGATATCCTGTGATTTAAAAATTGCTGTTTACCCATACGTATGCATATAATCGATCATCATGCTTCATTTACAGTCTTGTTCGTAGCTGCTATTAGAGTTCCAAATAGCATAATAGCAATTTACATCCTAGACTCGCAACTTGAGCTGTAAGAGGCTCGCATGTGCCGTGCTAGACCTGCACAATTCTCAGCTCTAGCTTGAGCCATTCTCAGCTCTAGCTTGAGCCATAGGAATGTTTCGGTTCTTCTCATTTTATGTCATTCTCGTTCAGGCTGTCGCATCGTGGAGTACAAAAGAAGACTACAAAAGCTGGAAAACAGGGAAAGGTTGAAAATATGACAATGGAACTGTCTGTTTCTGTCTTTCCTACCGAATTCGGAATTGATTCGACGTCATGAATGAAGGATGAAGAGAAGAGTACTGAGGACCAAACAAAGCTAGAAGAGCTGCAAATCTACAATTTCAGTCTAAGGAAAAAACTCAATTTAAGTACAGGGTGTTATCAGGACATCGAGCTTAGTCCTTCAAATGCAGGCATTGCCAAAAAGAACAGCTAGATGAAGTTCCTAATGTCGTCCAGTAAAGAGATGATCAAAGAGGCTATTCCCTTTCAAACCGCACAACAAGTTCGAAGCATGGTGACTAAAAGTAGTAGAGCTGCCTCTGCAAATGGAAGTAAATCCATGGCCTCGTTGTACCCGTATAAGAACATTTCAAGGTCCTTTTTCTTCTCGTCAGTCCACCAGTTCTCTACTACTTTTAGTCACCATGCTTCAAACTTGTTGTGCGGTATGAAAGCGACTAGCCTTTTTGATACTCTCTTTACTTGACGACATTACCAACTTCATCTAGCTGTTCTTCTTTTTGGTAATGCCTGCATTTGAAGGACTAAGCTAGATTTCCTGATAACACCCTGTACTAAAATTGAGCTTTTTCCTTAGACTGAAATTGTAGATTTGCACCTCTTCTAGCTTTGTTTGGTCCTCGGTACTCTTCTCTTCATTCTTCATCTCATGATGTCGAATCAATTCCGAATTCGGTAGGAAAGACAGAACAGACAGTTCCATTGTCATATTTTCAACCTTTCCCTGTTTTCCAGCTTTTGTAGTCTTCTTTTGTACTCCACAATGCGACAGCCTGAACGAGAATGACATAAAATGAGAAGAACCGAAACATTCCGATTTTAATGGCTCAAGCTAGAGCCGAGAATTGTGCAGGTCTAGCAAGGCACATGCGAGACTCTTACAGTTCAAGTTGCGAATCTAGGATTGTGAGCACAAAAATGTGCTCACATGTTTTTTTAACCTAATGAGAGCTAAAATTTTGGATTTAAGCTCTTGCAAAATTATGCTTGGAGTTTTTTGAAAGTTTTGGCAGGATTAGGGGTTGGTGTGGATGGCTAGGAGGTGTGGTAGCCTAGTATTTCTTTTCTTTCTTGAAATTGGAAGTTTAAGAAATTTGATAGAGTAAATCCCTCATAACTTTTTCAATTCGTAACGCCTTGACTTAGTTAGGGTTTTGTTTAATAAAGCTCGACACGCTCGTTCGAAAGAGCCCAGGAACTCTTGAAACGGATAAGGGATCCATGAGTTAGGAGTGGCTGATATAGTTAGGCGAAGGGACTTCGGGGCGAGGCCTTTGGCGGAAGAGTAAAACCCTCATAACTTTTTCAATTTGTAACACTTTTTGTTATCTTGTTGGAAAGAGCTCAACATGCTCGTTCTAACGAGCCCAATAACTTTTGAAACCGATAAGAGATTAATGAGTTATGAGTGTCGGAAGTGACTAATATAGATAGGCAAAGGTGCGGAAGAGTGTCTTCGGCGGTAGGATGCCTTCGGCGCAAGGGCCTTCGGCAGTACGCGGAAGAAGATTTCCGACGGCGGAAGTCGGCGTGGTCATGAATGTAGAATGTACAAGTGTGGCGGCGGCGGCGTGAAGTCAAGCGTGGGAGGCATGCCGTTACCCATCATTGCGGGAACGACATTCAGCGGCATGTGGGCACCTTGGCCCTTGGACTTTAGAGAAGGATTTTTCGCCTAGAAACAGAGATCTTGAGGGATGACGTTGTGTGTGGACGCAGGTGGTATGGGTCGTAGGGATAGGGTGTGGATGTAAGTGATTTTCGCAGAGAAGTGGTGGGAATTAAGAGGGGAGTGTTGAGAATTCGAAGGAGGAGGGAGCGAATTCTCGAGGGTGGAGAGTCGAATCTGAGAGTGAAATTCAATCGGGGTCTGAGATCGAAGTGTCAAATATGTGAGTGATAGCTGAAATCAAAGTGAAGATCTGAGAGTGGAAGCTGAAATTGACGTGAAATCTAACAGTTTGGATTTGAATTTGAAACTGAAATGTGAGAGTTAAATCTGAGAGAGAAATCTGGTGGTGTATGGGGCTGTTGAAGGAAGGTGGGCAGTGTGTGTACTGGCTGTGAGAGTATGGGAGAGGGCGGAGAGTATCGCTTTGTGGGAGTGAGAGGGTGGTATCTAAGATTTTCAAAGTGAAATCAGGGTGCTGGAAGGGAGAGTCAAGAGTGTGTGATGTGCAGGCCGAGTGGATCGCTAAGAGGGCCGATGGGATCGCTAGGCTGAGAGTGAGTTGATCACTAAGAGGAAAAATCGAGCGAAGTGTTGGGAGCAGAATCGTGTTCCCTGGCTCTGAAGATTGCTGTTAGGAAGGATGTTCCCTTGTGCTGCCGGTGTGTCACCTGACTTGTCCGGGGTAGTGTGTCCGAGATGTGGCACTCATTCTAGTATAGGCCCACGACGGCTGTAGTATTGAGAAAGTTAGCCAGAGTTTGGTTAGATCTTTATGTTATGAAGAGCTTGTCTGCCGCTCTTGTGAAAATAGCAATTAGCAAGTTGTTAGTTTTAGTTTTGGACAATTTGTCTGTGGAGAGCGAATGTTTATGATCTCGTTGTCTTGAATACACTTAGAGCACATGGCTTGAGATCAGAGAAGTTAGATTATGGGAGCTCGAACGCACATCTGGACTACAAACGCTGAAGGATGGGGAGTTTTGGCTCACAAGGATGTAAATTGATATTATGCTATTTGGAACTCTAATAGCAGCTAAGAATAAGATTGTAAATGAAGCATGACTATCGATTACATGCATACCTATGGATAAACAGCGATTTTTAAATCACAGGATATCATCAGTCATATGGCTATTCTTCATTAGCATCCATTCAATTCAAAACCCTTGAACCATGGGAATGGTAAAAGTTCAAGTCTCGAACGATGAATGAATAGAGAGTTGGTGATAAAGACAACATCGATGCCCTCGGAACTGTCATGCAGGAATCACATTGTTGACGACACCTGCCGTAATATATTAAGTGATGTAGTCATTGATCGATAATAGTTTTTAAAATGCCTCAATCGAGTCTTCGATAGTTGTGAACCGTGCACCAACTACAGAGTGGACCTCTTAGTTTGAATGACTTGACTATCCTCGTACTGGTTAGTCAAAACGTTCATTTTCCAGCCTTCATTGTGCAGATTTGAGCTTAATTCTTCTCAGTTTTGCATGCCTTGCATCTACGACTGAGATCGACATCACTGCCTTACACTGTCTTCATCTCATTAACAGACTGGTGAGTTGGCGGTCTGCTTACTTGCTCAATCGGAAGTTGCATCGTAAGCCCAAGGCCTATTGAAGAGAATTGATGATTCTCGAAGTATACAAGCAGTTCGAGGTTTGAATGACGGTGGCCCGGATGAAAGTGCCATCCAAGTCAGAGGGTTTAGGGAGCTTGAGTTATGGAGGTTTTTAGTGGATCTTCATCACTGCACTCTTGGCGGTACCCAAAGCAGACCTTGAAGATGGCACATATAGGAGCCTTAAGATACTTGTGATATGCGACGATTCGTAGTGGCGTCGAACACTCAGATCCAAGGCGACTATCTATATTGGGCGACCTGGTCAACATGCTACTCAGCCTGTGCCAGCAACAGGTATACACAAATTAGCGTAGCATAGGCTTAATAAGTTCAACAGCAATACTGACGTTTCTCAAGAAGTCTCCCTCTGCAGCTTGAACCCAGTCAAATGACCTTTTCTAATGTGTAACAGATCGAAGATTATCCACAGATTCCCTTCCTTGATTTCACGACTGCGATCCATGTGGACAAGTAAGTAAGATGAGGTAGCTACTTACACAACCTGCCGTGCGGCCAGCTGATTTATATACACTCTCAATTGACAATTCGTGACTGCACAATTGCACTTTTAGCGTTATGCTCTGTAAAATTTTCTCCAGAGAACATGATATGTTCTCGCAGCACAAGATCATCTCACTTACGGACACATAACCACTTCCTGAGTTTACTTCCGGGGAGTTGTAACTCTTTTCTTTCAGCTTTTGGACGCGCTTACAATGCTTTCTGCTCCTGCATCGTAATTGTAAAAATGAACAATCTTCTGGAGATTACAGACTAGCAGAGGCAGACTTAAGACGCATCACACTCCTTTCGACTTCACTTATTTCATTTGTGCAAAATCGCTGGGATTAGTCATGAGTTGAAGAAGTTGTACTTCAAATTATTACAATCTTCACTGTATGGACACTTACACAACATCTAGCAGGGCTACTTTTCTTGATTGGTATCTTACGTTGATATAGTTTCATCGTGCTCTAACTCAAAGCGGTGTTGCATCAAAATCAGACAAGCCGTGCCGTACTTAAAGCCATATCCACGAACTTCTTCATAGAACATCTCTCCGTTGATTACGATCATCGCATGCATCAGGGACTGTAGCTCTAAACAATGAGTTCCAATGCACGCCGAAACATAGGGCGCACTCCACAAGCAACACTCGCATTGTGAAAAGCATGACTAGATTTAGTGAACTGTCACGAATAGTTTCATCATTCACCACAAGACTGAAAAAGATCAAACGTGGGCTTCCACACATCGTGACAGCGAGCTTTCAAACTGACAATCATCACACCGAAGCTGAGAGCCGAGAGCTCCTTCACGTGCATGGAGACGTCGATTCTTCCGGATGGGCACTTGAATGTACATAGTTTAAGGGAAGAGTGGGTTCCATTTTCTGAGCGCAACTGATGAACTCGTAGCTGAAAATAAACATGGTGGGATCGAGGTCTACAGATCGGTCATGGGCCTCGTCCCTGAAGGAGGAACTTGAGAGAGTTGCCAGAGCTCGAAAGGAGGCACACAGTCGAGGCCAGGGCCCCAAGATCTTCAAGGTTCCACCATACATCAGGACGCTGAAGCCATACCACTACAACTGTCAGCTGCTGTGTTTGGGTCTTTACAACAGGGACTTTGTTGGATTGGATCGGGTCGACGAGCTACGGCTCGAGGTGGTGTCCGGGTTCCTGGAGCAGGCCTACGTGCAGGGTCCAGATCGGTGGGACACGCTGTGCAATGAGATAGCAGGACCGGTCGAGGAATCTCCAGCACTTCGTCATCTGTACGATGATGATCCCAAAATCTCGCCTCTCTCACACGAGCAACTACGACATGTGCTCACACTCGATGCAGTCTTTTTGGTGGCACTCATGTCCTACTGGTACTTCAACTACACATTCGTAGGAAAAGGATCGCTCACTCGGTCCAGAAATGCCAACAGCTTTTGGTCCATCTTCGATCAAGTCCATGTCAACTCCCACATAGCTTTACTGTTCTGTGACATATGGTTGTTCGAGAACCAAATTCCTCTTTTCCTCATACAGAAAGTGTGGAATCTAGTATACGGCCAAGATGTGAACATGAATTTCGATAACTTTCTGCATCCAATCGTCCACTCGGCGGTTGCAACCTTCAATCTCGGCTACTCGAAGGACCATGGTATAGAGCAGGTGGTCACGTATGAACAATGTGACCACCTGCTAGGATGTCTTTACAATTTCGTCTGTTCCAAGCAACCCCGCGATCCAAATCCTCCGACTATGAGTATCGAGGACAACTATCAGCAATCCTCTTCCAATCCGGGCTCCGATGTCTCGGCGAGTGCTCAAATTTCCGGGCGAGGAAGTGTTGAAAGCAGCAGTAAGAACTCGAACCATCTTTCAGTGGTTTCATGGCTCCGGCGGGTATTCTACTCTCTGAAGGCAATGTTGACATGGATTATGAGAGTAATGGCGTTCCGTAGATCGAAGGGAGTCCTTCCTCGAACCCAAAGCTCGGACGTGAGTAATCTTTTGAGTGTGTCGGAGCTGGAGAAAGCTGGGATCAGTGTGAAAGGAGTTCACACCCCAATCAGTGGAATGAGGTTCGTCAAGTCGTCGTTCTATTTCAGAGCTACTCTCTTGCTTCCTAGAATTGACATCGACGACAACACGGAGAGGATGCTGAGGAACATGTGTGCCTACGAGTTGGCCACGGAGACAGATCACAGATTCATGTGTTACCTCGCAGTCATGGACGCCTTGATAGACTCGCCAGACGATGTGCGACTGCTGAGGAAGGGGGCAGAGCCGGTCATTGCTCTCAATTATCTCGGGGACGATCGAGACGTCGCCCTCTTATTCAACAATGTCCTGCAGAAACTCAGTGTCAGATTTTCCGACGAGGTCAAGAGCCTGTTCACGGAAGTACACGACTGGTACAGCTCCCCGATCCGACATCAGGTCACTCGATTTGTCAGCAGATTTCAAGAGAGGCCCTGGCTCTTCATATCTTTAGTTGCTGCAAACATTCTCTTCATTTTGACGGGACTGCAAACTGTCTACACGATGCTCAGTTATTACCACCCCTAGGCCAGGACATGTCCAAGGTCTGGTACTCGTGTCATGAAAAGTCATTGAGCTTTTTTTCAGGTTCATTGTGCTGAATCATTCTGTCCACATGCGCAACAAATGTAATCATCTCAAGTCTTGAATATACATTCCTCGGTCCACGGCTATCTCCAGAGCCCTGCCTGTTTTGCAAGTCTTGTATGCCTTTCTTCCTTTGTCACAAATTTTTCTACTACTGTATGGACTTTGAGTGGAACCAGTGCTTGGTGCGCAGGGATGGATGGGTCAATTGTGATGGTGCTCTTGCATTTGCCATTCTAGAAGTTGTGACCTAAAACACGTATAACGAAAATCTTGGACATCCTAGTTTTATATACATATATATAAAACTAACTTGTATTCATCGTTACATTATTGGCTCTATAAAGACAGTCCGCCCTGAAGACAAAAGTGGCATTACGAACGCTCTCTTTCTGGATTGCATTGGATTAACTTCGCCAACAGTCCCGTCGCATCAAGTGAAAGATCTGCAACAAAAATTAGGAGTACGAAAGTAGTCAAATCGCGTATTTTATGCAGAAGAAAACTTGAGTACTTGATGAACATATTTCTCAACCAGTTGCATCTAACTTTCCACCCTATATTTTGATTCATGAAGTGGTTTGCATTTGAACTTGTGTTGGTATGATTCTCCATATATAGTGCAGTAAACTTGACATTCAGCTACAAATGGCATTTTCTTGACTATATTTTGTTCTTTAATAGTACGCAATATTGCAGTTACATGATAAATCGAAGTAATGTGGTTAAATATCATCAATAGTTCATCATTTGATTCAAATTTAGTTTTTTATATTCATATGTTAATATAACAGCTAAATTAATTAAATTCAATAATAGTATTGTTTTGCTAAAAAATATCATTAATTATTTTCGTTTTTGTTTGTTAAAAATTAATCTTCCGTGGATAGTGTTGGTTTCTAATCCATGGAAAAAAATTCAAATATTCGAGATACAAGTAGACTCTCGATCTAGAATGCATTCTAGTTTAGAGCACACATAACTTAATGTACAGAGTGTATGAACATATGTATGTGCTCGCAGTAGGTTTTATTTGATCATCCTTTTTAGATCAAAATACAGACTGGATTATTCTCGTTTCATTTTCTTTACACTTGATTTCCTCAAATTCTGAGAAGTACATTTGTTCTCGAGATCTAGTGCAGCACAAATTAACAAAACTGTCTGTGGCATATCGCGACAGGACACTGAAGTTGGGGGTATTGAACATGGGAGTACGATGCTTGGAGCTTGCAATCAGGTAGTTTCTTGTGTATCTCGCCACCTTGAATTGACTTCCAAGTGAATGAAACATATTTATGTAGCAAAAAGACGAAAATAAATCATCATGTGGTGGTATGAATGAATACAATGAATATAATGAATATTGCAATATGTATTGCAATCTGATACATCTGACCTATCAAGGTAGAATGATATACAAAAAATATGATTTTTCCATTAAGAATGTAGTGCACTGATTGATAAAAATTACAGAATATAATATATATATTAAAAATTATTATTTTTTATTTTGGTAAATTAGCCTATATTATCTAATATGTTTCCAAAACTAAAGTTAAAGTTTTTTTAACTTCTTACAGATGACTGTCTTTGTTCCTAGTGCTTGATTGTACACATCCCTTTTACAATTTTGTCCACATATAACCACAAAAGGAGAGATAGTGACACTGGGTCACTAGTGTATCAATAAATGATGACGTAGCACGAAAGCTTGCAGTGAATGGACACTTGTGTGAGAAATGTGCATCAAAATTGCATGTGATGTAATCATTTCTACATGAAACGTTTCAAGATTATTACTTTTCAATTTAAGATAACAACTCTTGCATTTTTACACATGAAACAATAATTCGGACATGGACATAATCTCAACTGAGTTCTTCATTTAAGTATTGTCTTCTGTAGTTTTCCTGTGCGACAACTTGGGTACCAATTTGATCAATCGAAAATGAAATGGTTCACCATTATTATAGGAAGCCAGGTTCCACCGAAAGGTAAAGCATGCCCGCCCAAATGTATCCGCCAGGAGAGGTGCCAACCGAAGAAGAAGAGACCCTCACTAAACTGGAATAGCGTTCCGTCGTCTAAACGGCAGAGGGGAAAGCCGGCAGACGGACGGCCGCAATGCTGGAATGAGGAACGCCCCGGCATGGGAAAAAGAGAGGAGAAGGTGCCGCAAAGGTGAATGCAGCACGACGAGGAGGAGGAGGAGGAAGGAGGAAGAGGACGAGAGCAGCACGATCGGGACTTCGCTCATCAGTCGAGGTTTTTCATCGGCCCTCGTTTGCCCCGATTTGTTCCGTCGATCCATCGGTGGGTCAGTCAGTCAGTCGTTCCGCGCGCTGTGCCCGGCCTGGATCGGATTCTTCCGCTCGCCTTGCAGGGATCTGAGGGAGTGACGGATCCAGAAGGAGTCCGCTCGGCCAGCAATTCTTCGCGATCTTGTAATTTCTCTCGCTCGTTCGCTAGCTCGCTCGCTCGCTCGCTTTGCTCGGGGCGTGAGTGAGGCCATCGTTGGTCGTCGGGCGAATTCCAACAGTTGGAGCTTAGAAACATGAGTGGAGGACCAGATCCCCTGTTCGGTTTGAAGAACAATTTCTACCTGGGAGCGTTTCAGGCTGCGATCAACGAGAGCAATGTCGGAGGTTTGTCGGAAGCTGCCTCCGTCGAGAGAGACTGCCTCGTGTATCGCTCCTACATTGCTTTGGGAAGCTACCAGGTGCGTCAATCAGTTGAGGGTCGTGGTCGGTTTGATTCAGAATAACGTCGCGCAGCGTGCGATCTTGGATTTTGTGGTTTCGCTTTCTTTTGCCCTGTTGATTGACTGTTTGTTTGTTGAGATCTGGTGTTTTGAGTCAAAAATCAGCTCGCTTGCCGCCGGATTTGAGTGTCGATCACCGGGTTCCGATTGTTTCTGAAGACGCCTTTCGCTTGACGCACTTCTGCCTCGTTTCTACCACAGTTCTATAGCTGTTATTTTGGAGTATATTATAAGCTCGAGACGGCCTGAGAAAGCCCATCAAATGAACTTTCGTCTGTTTCTTTGGGCAGCGTCGCTGTACCGTATGCTGAAGTACCGTATTTTGTATGAAGTGCATGGGTCTTGCTTCTCTCCACCAGAGCTGAGTTGTTAACACACTTCCTAGGCAATGTCTTTGGAAATACTTTGAACGCAACTAGAAGAACAATCTGATTAGAAGGAGTGTAATGGGAATTGCGATAGGTTACATAGTTGCCCTCAATGTGAGAAGTGATACAAAACAAAGAAACTTTCGGATTGCTCCAATTTAGATGACCAGTTTGCTTCTTTTCCTCGTTCCGGTTTGCCTCATCTTAGTTTTTTTTGAAGATTTCACGTTTTCGACCTAGGGACCTTCCGAATTCTCGATCTCATTTTTCGTTTAGCCTCTGATGAACATTGATTCAGCAATTTCCCTCGCGGTTCTGAACGTTGTTTTACTTCCCTGCGTTTTTTTTTGTCCAGTTGTACATTGAGCTTCATCTCATTTGGACATTTGGACTTTCGCAGCATGTGTAGAGGTTGATGTGGTAGATCTGAGGTGTGAATGGAAAACTGACCTTGCATGTTTACTGTGCAGCTTGTGATCGATGAAATTAGCAGCTCAGCTCCTACCGCCTTACAAGCTGTGAAATTGCTGGCCATGTACTTTCAAGGAGGCAGCAACAAGGTTCGCTTTTCTTTTTTGCATTTCTTTTGACTGCACGTCATGCAAAGACACGTACGTTCCAATTGAGCACGATAGTTTTCCTGCGTCATCGGTGTATCCAATTCTATGTTTGGTCGCAGTCTGAAGTAACGCATATTTGTCACATTTACATTTACGGAGAGTCTTTCCTTCATGCGTCCTTCGGGCAGAAGCTGGAAAACCGTATGGCACATCAATTAGTTTTGTTAATTAGCGTGATAGGATAGACAATTGTGCTGATTATGTCTGCAACCCTTACGGCTCCCCAGTATCTCACAGATTTTCTTCTGACTCATTCAGGAAATGGCTTTGACCAGTATCCAGGAGTGGTTAGCAGATCCGGCAATTGCAAGCAACCCTACTCTTATCTTGGTTGCAGGAACCATATACGCTCATGAGCGTATGTACAATGATGCTTTGAAGATTACACATGTTGGAGGCACTCTTGATTTGTGAGTATACGAGCATTGTTGATGTCCCGTTATGACTTTCACGAATGGCTTATTCTGTTCTCAAGTCCTGTTTTTATGCGGGGTTATTTTAACGGTTAGGGCATGATCCTTTGAAGTTCCTGTCTAACTATTATACATTCTTCCACTTCAGTCTTGACTTGAACATTTCGAGTTGACCGAATAACAGCAATGCATTTAAATCTCAGCTTAACACTTTGTGTGCTATTGAAGAACCAGATTGTATATGTTATCCGTAGGATTCTGAAACTGCTCTCAGTACGTTTTGTCATCCTTCTTGCAAGACCTATCTTTTGAATTAGAGAAGGTTAACTTCCAGGAACACATTGTTTGGTATGCAAGGCTAAGACAGTGATATATATTTCTTCTGATGAGCTTCGGGTGCGGCAGGTGTGCCTTGAATGTGCAGATCTATCTGAAAATGAACAGAACCGATTTCGCTGAGAAGCAGTTGAAGCTTATGCAACAAATTGACGAGGACCATACTCTGACTCAATTAGCGAATGCCTGGTGCAATATTTGTGTCGTAAGTACCCTGTATCCCCATCTGCATGTAGATTACGAGTCAGTTTGTATGATGGGATGCTGAGTGTGATTCTCCTTGGTGTCTAACGTAGAAGTTGCAGTTGTTTGTTGGTTTGTATACTTGCCCTAAGTTTCCAAGTTCCCTGGCCTCATCTTGCTACAACGATGATCTGTATGAAATTGCCCCTTACCACGCAAGTATGATGTACTAGAGTAGCTTCAAGCGATGTAAGCTGCAATAAGGTATGCTTCGCTGGAAAGTTTCAAACATAGCATTTGTGTGCATTTTTTTTTTCTGCGTTTTTAAGTTTTCTGTTGTGCTGCTCGGCATTATTAAGCATCTAGACCTTCGGGTCCAGATCTGCAGTGTTAAAAAAACAGATAAAATTGCTCATGAGCTTTTTGGACGAACGATTAGCCTATGCAAGAATAAGGTTTGGAAGGTCCATATCTTTTAATATGTGGGATGTGCATAGCTTGGCTAAACATCTTAAACCTCGGGTACGACCTCCGGGATAATTGTTCTCGCCACGACCAGTAGCCGATGGCATCATAAAGATCAACACCGTAGTCTGTGTTGTAGAATGAATAATCACAAGGACAATCCTGACGTCAGACCAATAGCTGCTACAAACCTATATCCTCATGGAAGTAGAAGTTGGAGATTACTTTGTTATGACTGCGACATCTAGCACTCAATGATACAAGTGACATTTCAGTCCTTCTGGGCTAGAGATAAGTGAAGAAGCGAAGATGTTTTCCCTGTAGCTGATGCTAAGCTGAAGGCATTTTTTCAGGAAATCATTCCGCAACGTTGCTTGCTCGTCTGTTATCATTTTCTTCAGAGCGCAATCTCATTTGTGAACCTCAAGCAATTTAAACTGTAGTTTAAAGAAGGGACTAGTAGTGTGACCATACCTCTGTGCTTACCGACGTTAAAACTCTTTATATTCTCGCAAGAGTTTCGCACTTAGAGATAATGGAAATGCAACAGTCGGAAAATGGAGGATTTGCTTGACTTTCTCTGTTTTGGGTAAATCAAAACGCTACACTAACCGTCCCTGGCGAACGAAAAATTTTCAGTCATTGGCATGACCTGTTGTCTCTCCTTTGTCATATCTTTCTCTTCAGACCTATTTGTAAAGTTCAATGTTGCTTCTTGGCCTGGCATAATCTTGCCAGGCCAAGATGCACGCATGCATAAAACATTCATGTGTGCAAATCTTGGGATTTACGTTCCAGCAGATTTTTTCTGTGGACCTTATTGGAACACAAGTTTCTCTTGTTGCGGATAGGAGCGATATAGCAGCACTAGAAGAAATTATCAATCGTTCTATATTTAAACTGCTGAAGAAATTCACTACCGGGATTGTGAAAAATTTCACTTCCATGCTGGACTTTCTCTTCTTCTCATGTCATGTGCTGAATTTGTAAGCTTTTTAGTTTGCCGATTGTCCGTTCTCCTGCAACTTGAATATATTATGGAGCGGGTTGCCATTTGCTAGGCAGGGGCTTGATTTTCCTCAAAGAAACAGAAGACGTCACGGTCGACTGATGGGCTTGATAGGCCATGTTCACCATTTCGAAACGATTACCACCCATAATCTGCTGTCCTTGGAGTTTGTTCATTCAATCTCAGTATATTCCTTTCCTATTTGTTCTTCCTGTTAACTCTTAAAGGGATCGAATATCATGAAGATAGCTCAGATTTCCTGGCACCCGAAGTCTAAGAGCGGGAACAGCACAAAAGACAACTGTGGAATGAGGGGTATGAAATCACTCGTTCGACAGATCAATGAGGCGCTGTCTGATTTTTAGGGAAAGATCGAAGGCTTGTGAATTTGTCGAGGAACTTGAACTTCTTGACAACATTAGAGGTCTCGATCGAGCCTGACGGGCCGTGCTGACCATGTCAAATCGGTCACTACCAATAAGCTGACGTCCTTAGAGCCACGATATTCGAGCTCATAATCTGCTTGTCTTATTGTCTTACCTGGTTATTCCTGAAGGGAATGAAGCTCATGAAATACAGCTCTCGTTTGGCTGCACATCCATCAAGCTATGGTCATTACTTAAAATTACACCTTTGAACTAACTTCCTCAAGAGCCTGAAGTTTTCCTGCTATTTTCCAGATTTTTGTCTCTCCTGTTCTTTATGTTCTGTTGAAGGATTTGAGGACGATGATGACAACAAGGAAGGTCTCGTTCGACAGATTGGCCTATCAGGCCATGTTGACCATTTCAGAAAGATCACCACCCATAATCAGATGTCCTTAGAGCATGGTTACACGCATGCTATTTTAAGTGTTGATTTTGCTTCATTTTCTGTTTTTATTTTGAAAAAAATAGAGGACAATGAAGACAATTTGAAATTCTGTGTTCCACTGGTTGGTACATCAGGCCACTTTTAACAGTTCACCACCCATAACTGGACTTGTGCCTTTGACAACGAGCTTTTCATCCCAGCATTTTCTCAATAGTAGTTCAGTCGCAAAGTCACCCGTCCAATGTAATGCTGGCCGTCTCTTCGATTGAATGAGGTCACGACGATTTCTCATGCAATGCACAGTTGGTGAAAACAGTTATATTGGCCGACTTTCTGAAAGTTCCTATCCCTTATCTTTTCTTTTCTCTTTGGACCTACTGTTTTCACCTGTGTCCAGGTATGAAAGTTATTAGAAAGAAGAGCAATGCAAGAAAGCTAGACACAGGAATTGAGTTCTGAGGAAGATTTTTATTTTCTCTAGAGTTGTTCTTTTTTACACAGGTCCCGGATCAGGGGTTAAACCCCAATCCGAGTTGACAAGGGATGTTTCCTTACAAAGGGACACAAACCCTACAGTGGGTCACACCCACTGAACATCTCAGTCTTAACTATAAGGACTCTAACTGTACTAGTCCGCACAGAGAGGAAGTAGGTAGTATAACTGTATTCTAACACTCCCACTTACTACCTACTTACTTCTCTCTTCCTCATTTCCAACTAATAAACCCAAATTCTGACTATGACACCAATGCTCTCTCTAGCTAATGGTTTCGTCATAATATCTGCAACCAAGACAAAGGAAGATAAACCAACTTCACTAAGTTATTTGCGACTAGGTCCCTGACAAGATGATATCTAATATCAATGTGTTTTGATCTTTCATACTTCTTCTGGTTTTCTACTTGTGCAATAGCACTTTGATTATTGCAGAATATTTTTGACTCCAGCTCAAAGCCCAGATCATTCAATAATCCTCTTAACCACATAGCTTCAGCTCCAGCCTTGGACAATGCCATATACTCTGCTTCTGTAGAAGAAAGTGCTACTGACTTTTGTTTCTTTGATGTCCAACTAATGGTTCCACCATCGAGTTGGAAGCAATATCCATAAGTCAATCGTCTCGTGTCAAGGCAACCTCCCGAGTCCGCATCAGAATATCCAGTCAAACCGGATGGTTTATCAACCCTTGTAAACCTTAGGCCAAAATCCAGAGTTCCTTTCAGATATCTGAAAATCCTCTTGACATCAAATCCTTCCAGTGTATCAATCGAGGATTTGACATGAACTGAGCCACTGAACTAACAGCATAAGATATATCGGCTCTAGTACAGACCCTCGCCCACATCAAGCTCCCAACACCAGCTTGATATGGTATATCTTTTATATCTTCACTTTCTCCCACTGAATTGGGAGAGTTAAGCACACTTAACTTCAAACCGGGTTCCATAGGTGTATCAATAGGCTTACAGTCCGTTATGTTGAACCTCACAAGTTTTTCAACCAAATATTGTGGTTGGGAGACTCGAATACACCCTTCTTCACGATTTCTGTCCACTTGCATACCAAGACAATGATGGATCTCTTCTAAGTCCACCATGTCGAACTCAGTGTTAAGTTTCTCCTTCACATTTGTAAGAAGATGCAAGGAATCACTCGCCAATATACAGTCGTCCACATATAGTGCTAAATACACAAATGCTTTCTCCTGAGAGTATATGTAAACATTCTGATCTGCATTAGGTCTGGTAAAAGCAATCTGCAGTAAGAACGAGTCAATTCTTTGATACCACTGTCGTGAAGATTGCTTCAGTCCATAAATGGATCCAATCCACACAATCCATCAATAACGGATTGTGTGGTCAACTTGTGTTGTGACCGCACAAAGGATCTGTATTTTTTAGGAAGACTTCGTAGGAGACAAGTGTAAGCTTCTGCCTCTGGAACAGTCTGCCCTATAGAAGCCAACTGACGGAGAAGTAGACGAAAGTTGGTAATGTGTTTCGCCATAGACTCTCCTGTTTTCAGTTTGAAAGTATGCAATGCATATCTTAATTGCATTTCCGTCGGTATGTCATAGAATTTAAAAACTTTATTTAGTTCAGCCTCTGCTGCTGTAACATAGTGAGCTATCAATGGATGATAGTCTCCCAACGAGATATTCAACATCGCCAAGAAGTTTTTGTCAATCCATTCCTTCTTACTCCCTGCTCCTGACGCGGGTGTACTGGTTGTAGAACCAGGTGGAGTGCTTGGCCGGAGCTCTTCTCCTTCCATGACATCCATCAATCCTTCCACTCGAAGGATCCAACTCATTTTATTCTTCCAGAAATGGAAATGCTCCCCGTTAATTTAGGGAGATCCATCCATGCAACTCGTTAAATTTAGGGAGATCCATCCATGCAACTCGTATTGGAGCCCATGGAGAAGACATCTTACAGAACTTGATTGAACTTCTCAACAAAGCTTCTTCTGTGACTTACTTTCTTTATTTCCCATGGAATCAAATAAAATCTTCACTAAACTCACCCAATCTTGGTCAGACTAAAAACTTCACGGTTTAGTGTAGAACACTGACCCCAATTACTGAAATTTTGCAAAATTTGAAACATCGCTGAATTTGCAAGCAATTCATGAAATTGCACTTGAAATTGACCGAATTTCAAGTAATTGGTGAGAAAAAAAATCTTCAAAATTTCACTCGAAATTTTTTTTAAAATATCTTCATAACTTCGGGAAAAAAACGAAAAATAACCCTTGAAATTGCTCTGACAGTCAGCAGAGAGAATGATTCAAAGCAAAAAACTTCCTTCATGCTTTTGCTAACTCAAGCATCTTTGAATTAGAAAAGAACCAGCTCTGATACCATATTAGAAAGAAGAGCAATGCAAGAAGGCTAGACACAGGAATTGAGTTATGAGGAAGGTTTTTATTTTCTCTAGAGTTGTTCTCTTTTACACAGGTCCCGATCAGGGGTTGAACCCCCATCCGAGTTGAAAAGGGATGTGTCTTTACAAAGGGACACAACCCCTATGTTCAGATGTGCAGTGGGTGTTACCCACTGAACATCTCAGTCCTAACTATGAGGACTCCAACTGCACTAGTCCGCACAGTCCGAGTAAACTGTATTCTAACAAAAGTCCTATTATGAACCTCGGATGTTCAGAGGTATGGATTTGTGTTTTTCGCGAGTTGTTGACATTTTCCTCATCAGCTTAATTACCCTTCGTTTGCTTCAGGGTGGAGCTAAGATTCAGGAGGCATTTTACATTTTTCAAGAGCTTTGTGAGAAGTACACATGGACTGTTCCTCTGATGAACGGAATGGCCATTTGTTATATGCATATGGGTCGGTATGGAGAGGCTGAGACATTTCTTTTGGAAGCCTTGAACAAGGTACACCTGCCCGCTTAGCAAGAAATGTTAATGTAAGACAATCATTGTCCATGCCGTAGCGAAATAGCGTCGTTTTTTTGGATAAAAAGACGTCTATTTGTCTTCTTATGTTTAGATGGAATTGAGTAGATGGGAAGTTGGTAGGTGCTCACACGTGTGCTTTTGACAATAGTATTTAAGTAGATGAGCATTTACGTTGTTGTGTTCAGGATGCTAAGGATGCGGAAACGATATCAAACTTAATCGTCTGCGATCTTCACCTAGGGAAGCCAACTGCACGATACATGAGGTACTCCCTTCAGTTGCCGGATGTCTTTCATGTCACGGTACCTCCGTCACAGTTCTTGAAGTCAAGATGTGTGGATTGATGTGTGGATCTGAGTTCAATTTGAGGATCATAATGACTCCCATAACTGTGACAAAAGGGATAATGCTCGCTCACGCGTACTCACTCGCAATATTTTCACTCCGAAGTACGTTTGTTTTACCATAATGGGCTGTAAAGAATCGTCAAATTTCATATTTTAGGAGTTGAGGCCGGCCCTACGGTTTGGTATAGTCCTATAGCTATCTACGGTCGGGGTCTAACATATAAACGTCTCCTTCATTTTATTTAAATGATGTTGGTTTGGTCCCGATTAATTTATCTAAGAGTCAGTCAAACCTTGTCTCTACATTTATTGAAGAGCGCTCTAACTGTGCTCCTTCTATCCAATATGCAGCCAACTCAAAATGTCGCACCCGGACCATCCACTGATTCAGCGATCTACAACTGCTGAAAGCGCCTTCGAACGAGCTGTTCAACCTTTCGAGAGAGCTTAAGTAGATCAGGTGTGATTCGGCGCACAGCATTCCGATTTTTGGCCGAATCTACTAGTTGTCTTTCATATATTTTTTCCTCCCCATCATTAATGCCTCATTTAACCAAGAAGAGCATTTTAGTCTCATTTCTCTCTCAACGTCATCAAGCAATAGCATCGACAATCATTGGCTAAACAGGGGTGGTAGGAGTCGCAACTTTCAAGCTTTCTCATTTTGTCACTCTTCAAGTCTCAACCTGAGCGTATGTACTGATCCTTGCTTCTATTTTTGAATCCGACACATTCGGACAAGGTTCTCGAGACTAAACTTGCAAGTCGTGACATTCTATGGGAATAAATTTCATGGTTTTCTATTGAACTGTCTGTTTTTCGTTGTAGCAGTGATTGTAATTTCCCAGCGGGTCAGCTTGCATATTGGGAAATCCGTGGAATTTGTGAATTCGTGGAACGAGTTTCCGTACTGTTTGTTGTTTTAGGAAAAACGAAGTGTTTCAGTACAGTATTGTGTACTTCAGACAAGTTTATTATAAGGGATGTTTTTAAATTTCCCAGATGAGATGAAAGCATCACTACTGTTCTCTGTACTTAACCACATTGTTAACTCCTAAGGAGGATATTATCGGAGTTGTAACTTTGATTACGCCTACATTTTTATACTCACCTGCATCAGACTTTATTGAATCTACCTTGAACTCATCCCGCTTTCAAGCTGCGGGAAGTGTGCAGTCGTCAGATTCGTAAGGTTGATCTTGCTTCCTTCTGCCGTCTTTATAAGAAGGCGAGAGGTAGGTGAATTAGGCACCGAGAGACGATCTTTGAGACCAATAGCCTACTATTGATCTCAAAGATAGACAACCAACAGTCTAGACCTTAAGAGGTATTCCTGGCTTACACAGCTTTTGTAGGGCCCAACTTTCTTGTTTAGTGTAAAATGTTACTATATTTCTTGCTCTCACTGAGTTGTTTGCTATGACGGTTGTTATTGTAGATGGTTGACGATAGAGAATTAAAAACATTTGAATATCGTGTGCCTAAGTTGCGAAGAAATGAAACTGCTCAGAGGTGCGAAGCTCAGTTCGAAAATCGTATCATAAGCTGCGGGGAGTGCTATGTACCGGGCGGGGGTTACGAGCCTGGTTTAGCGTTAGGCCGAGCGGTCCTGGGCGAGAAAAGTACAATTCACGTTGTTCCAAGGCATTTCACTCATCCGGGTTCGGCAACGGAGACCTTAGCATGTGAAAAAAGCTCCGGGAGTTTCCTCATCCTGAAATGGGTGACGGAAGGATCTAAATTTTACTCTGGTCGAGACGGGAATCTTTACTTAAAAACATCTATAATTGCTGTCTGCGTTTTCTTGTGTTTATTTCGATTAGCGATTATCACATGATTACCGGGTCGTGCACGCTCTACGCAGTGAAAGTCCACTTTGTGTCAAAATTTTATTTACAAATTTACTTAGTACAGCATTTACGGCTCCACAAGCCTGATGTGCAAAACTTATATTCTGTATGTATTTGCTCGGAACAACCAGTTTTTATGGAGGTCTTGAAGGACTTACTTTCACTGCCCAAAGAGTCTGTTGCCAGATGGCCGTACGATATCATCTAAAGCATTTCTTCTACTAATGAAGAGAACATGTGAACTGCCCAAGATTCACGTTCAAGAAAAAGACTCAAGATTTATGGTTTATAATGCCCCTTTTTAAAACCATCAATGGATACATTCTAAATGGACAACGTACTGAGATCAAAGGAGAGCTGATTTCGGGTACCTTTTTATTGCCGATTAGCAGGATGGTTAAGAACAAATGTGGATAAATTTTGGGTAGTAAACGAAAAGATTAACATATGGTTATGGGCTCTAAGTAGAGATTTATTCCAGTCCCATCAGAAACACATAAGATAGAAAGGTAAATCCTTGTATACAATTTATCAGCAACCACTGCATGGACTATGGTTTGAAACTGTCGCATGCCAAGATTGTGCGTAAAGGGTAGGACGAATTAGAGAAGGAAAATGGGAAGACCCCATCAAGGCATATGCGCACTTATCTTTTTCGACATTCCTAATTCCTCTGGTTCAACTTCTTGGATACTCCTACCTTTGATATCATTTATTGAGTTATGTGGAAAGCAGTGATTTGAACGTCGCGCGAAAGTATTTCAAGGTTTCCAGCCTGCAGACCTACGACAAATGGTACGCTTCACGCCCCTTTTTGTCTACAAGTCCTTCAAACCGATAGTGTTCTTAGAAAGTGAGAGTTCCAATTCATCATTCTCTTCTATCATTTAGAAATGTCTTAACGGCGCAAATTTTGACTTTTCGAGTTTATCCTTATTCTTCTTTTTGCCTTAAAAAAAAATTCTTCTCTGAATTTTTTGACTAAAAAGTAAAACATGCTTACGCAAACAAAATAGCCACCAAATGCATCGTCAAATGCACTGAACCTGTGTTAGGAAACAAGGCAAAGTCCGCGATGATACTAGGCAAAATTACATGGATCGAATGGTAGGAGTAAATCATGAGAGCCACACTACAAAGGTGGCTACGCGGTAAGTATTTTGGTGACGAACAATTCTTTGGGACCTACATATACACCGTGTCACCATATTAGTGTATGTGGTACCAACTTACGATGATATCCCAGACTGACAGTCCAACTGTAATACAAAGATAACTATCACACAGACCTACTCTACGTCTATTACAATTACAAAAAACCTTGTCATCGCTCAGGAGGCTGGAAAATCGACGACATTGAAAAATGACGGTCGAACCATGAACGAGGCAGACGACAGGAGGCTTCGAGAACTTCAGTGGCTTACACAGAATGACATGTGTCAAAGCTGACCGAGGCTCTGGATCCGACATTGTACTCTGGTGACACATTGTGTCAGCCTTCTGCCTCAGGCAAGCGCAGATGGATTGCACACTCACTTGCTCTATCACTCACTCGCTGGGCAGTGAGGAGCAGGGCTCCTTGCCACAGGATGGATTCTTCGATGACTAGCACTCGGTACATCATCTCATGGCGGTTGCAACTACGTCGGCCTAGACCTCGAGACCTCGAGACACCTTGCTACGTGCTTTTCCACACGGCCCGGTGGTGTGATCATTGCCGGTGCTGGTTGGCTGGAGGATTGAACCTCTCAGTTGGCGATACCTGTAATTCAGTGCTAGTTGACGGTGTTGGTGAACAACGAATGGAACGCTGAAGTGGAACGGTGAACCACGGTGACACTTTTTGAGGCTTGAACCTCGCTCAAATTGGGTGAGCACAGTGGTGCGCGAGAGATTTGAGGGCTAAGGGAAATATCCTCCTCTACCGAGCCCTGGAAAGCAGCAGGGCCAAAGAGGCAGCGGCAGCAGCCCGGTGTGGGGAGGCTTGTGGAGCAAGGATGGGAGTGACCAAACTACTTTTGAGGAATGTATATCTGAACATTCACCACAGTGTTCCTGACACCCACAGTCCACCCTTATGCGTATGACGTTTGGGGCGACGCTCGTGGCCAACGAGTGTTTCATATATTCGCTTCTGAACTGGCCGAGACTGGCCAGATGAGCCTCACTGACCTTTTGTCCCCACCCCTTGCAGAATATGCACCCTCGAATCCACTCCTCCCTCAAGGTATCTCAGAAGCCCCGAATCAAAGTTATATTAACCAAATCAGGCACGTAGTGAACGAACTATCTCTCTATCTCTCTCTTTCTCTAGTCACACGAAAGATATATTCTCTGACTGCCTTGACTGCTTAGTGGGCAGCCATTGCTGTATGGCTACAGGACAGTACAAGTTAGAAAGGAAGATGAGCAGAAGAGGATTGTGGCCAACGGGAGAGGTGAGGGATGTTGTCACGCTCTCCATTCTGTCTCTCTACCTCGTGGATGGAGAGTGAGTGAGTTAGGGAGGTTCTTGCCACCTAGGGGTAGAGAAGGGCACACACGAACGATGTTGCGGATAAGCTTATGGGTAGCCATAATTCCTGACAGGCCCTGGGAGCTTTGGAATATATTGCACATCGAACGAGGTTTGGGACCATCCACAGAGGTTTTGAACACAAGCACACACAAACTCCTTATATTCCATGGCATCCGATCTGGTTGCACGACGTGTACGCAGTTCGTTTGCTTTAGTTTATTCTTCGAATTGACTGTGGACCGAGGGAGCTAAGCTCGTGGATTCCCATACTACTACTACTTGTTCTATAACTGAAAGGGATAAACAAATCTGGGTCTCACTCTGTGTCAGAGTTGTTGCCACTTGTGAGATATGTTTCCTCATAATCACATGATGTGAGGGAGACATACGAAATTCTCTTGCAAGTTTCAACATTTTCTCTTTCTCTGTCAGTCTCTCTCTCTCTCTCTCTCTCTCTCTGACAAATTTTGTTAATGTCAATGGAGTCATGATAGGTAGATACTGCAGATGTGGTGTAATAAAGATTTCAGATCCATCACTAGTCGGCTGTTCATACATGACAGTGGATTATAATACAGTATCACCGAAACATACATTTGTATTGCTGTACATTCACTGGTCCCCTTCCCCCCTTTAGCTGCTAGCATCCATTAGTCCTTTCTTATTATGGCAAACGATACCGAGTTCGAGAAGTTCTTTCGATTATAAAACTCTCTTCCATCATCGATTATTGGAAATGTGTGTGGACGGTGCGACTACCTAAACCTCGACCAACGTAAGCGAGTGTGTGAAGCCAGGGAGAGATTCCCAGTTGAGGCCTGCATGCCCTCCCTCCCTCTCTCTCTCTCTCTCTCTCCCTCTCTCTCTCTGGCTACCTGCCTACCCCCATGCCTGCCATGGCCAATGCCAATAGAACCAAACATCTCCTCCTTAATAATGTAAAAGAGGATAAAATTTACAACTATTTGAATGAAAAACAAAAAAACTTCAAAAGATCTCCAACAGAGAGGACGGAACTTCAGATGTTGAATCCCTTGATTCAAGCGTTTGATCCCTTCTGATTGTGCTCGTGCTGCGCTTCTGTTGCTGCTGCGGAGGCTGGCTGCTGACAAGCAGGTCTGGATGACTTGGTCCATTCAAACGTGCTGGATTACCGAGGGCTCAAAACAGGAAATGATGAGGGTATGACATGACATGACAGGACAAGCCAAGCCAATCCCGTCCACTTCAGTCCCCGTATCATTCAGCGCAGAAATGTCTCACGATTTATGGAGAGAATTGGTAGCAGTCTTGAGGAGGCTGGATGATTTCACAAACGTGTCAATGGCCAGACATGCACAAGAGATGCATAATCATACCTGCTGTCGTTGTAGTTGAGCTCACAGA